ATTATTATTATTATTATTATTATTATTATTATTATTATTATTATTATTATTATTACCATTATTATTATTATTATTATTATTGCTATCCTCAAGCATATATTGTAAGAAATTGGATATTTTATTGCTTAATATGGTAGTTAAGATAACATTTTAAGTTTCTTAGGATTATTTTCCAAAATTTCAAATCAAATTAATTGAAAAGCACGTAATTATCACAACAATTTATATCATATAATCGTTAAAAATTGTTATTCCTTCTATTATTCAATATCTAATTATATACTTAAAAACAAAAAAAAAAAACCTTTCATAATTCTTATCGTCCTTGGAAGTCTTTTTTCTAACACTAATTTCTTCCTCTTTTCTCAAAAAAATTTCTCGACTATATATTTTTTTTCATGTATATTTCAATCGATAGAATTTTCAAATTCTTCATTCTTCAATTTTTACTTTCATTTTTACTTTTTTTTTGTCAACGATTAAATTATTCATTCATTTTTTCCAAAGGCTTAAAAATGCATTATCATTTTGGTTAGTGAAATCAGATGAATCAAATAGCCTAAAGACTAATTTTAATGGAAGAAGAGCAAAACCAGAAATAAATCCTTAATTCATTTCCGGAAAAAAAGTGCAGTTTTTCACATGAATAATCCGGTTTTTCACTATTTCGTAAAAATGAGAAAAAAAATAAGAAATGAATTTAGGAAAATTTTCCAAGCATTGTACCATAAAATTGCATATGCTTCAATGAGAAAGCAACGATTATTACCTTTGAGAGGAAACGAAAGAAAAATCGATTAATATTTTTCAGGAAATTATTGCAAGAATAAAAGTTCTGGAAGGGAAGCTTTATCCATTTATTCATTTTTAACCCTTTATTTCTTTCATCCATAAACTTCATCATCAAAAAGTAAAGTATACTAATGAAAAATTCCATTTCTTTTTTTTTTTTTTGAAATAAAATTGTCATCTTGTCATCTAAAATCATCCCAATCAACTTGTCATCCATAATTAATTTTTTAGCAAATAAATTCCCTTAAATGAAAAGAACAAAAAGAACAATGAACGAAGGATAATGACAAATTTATCATTATCATAGTTCAAAATCATGAT